GCCTCGCGCCACCAGCAATTACATATTCAGAGCGCAAAACCCGTAAGACGCACAGATATTGGGGAAAAGTAATCATGTTTGATCCAGTAAAGTGCAGCTCCAATTACTTGAATCGAGAGCCTATTGCTAAAACCGAAGCACCATCCCTCCTATGAAGGAGCAGATAATCTAAATACATTTATGCAGAAGCGCTCAACTCACGAAATTACACAGCACCTGGGAAATTGTGACGTTATATTTGATTCAAGTAAGGGGAGGGTATCTAATTCTCTACATCAAGAACCATCTGTCATTAAACGAATTTAACTCGTCCTCCCTCGAACTGAACCTATATGTCTCATTCCTCAGGTGCTTGACCCCGAATAGCACTATATAAAGAGCGCTGGCCAATAAACGGGTTATTGGACAAAGCTGCAGATTATAATTTTTTACTTATACGTCCTAAATATACAAGTTTTTAAGCTGAAGAAAATAATAAACTCGATATTAATCTCTGATACTGTCCCTGTAACTCATCCTCAAACAGTATGCGTGGGGATCCCAACAGTGTAATCACTATTTATGATCACATTATAATTATAATCTTGGGGAAGTGCTAAACCCGTAGGGATTATACAGCGCCTGTGGGAGGGATGGAAGGTTTAATTCTGGAACTGGAGCACAGATCCAACTCCCTAGATCAAAAGCCCTTCACCAGCGTCAAGGAACCTCCCGTGAGGGGATTTATGGTTACAATTGTCGGTCAATTTTAAAAATTCAAGACTTTAATTACACTATTATTATTATTATTATTATAATCAAAAAAGAAGCTCTAAGCCACAAGGACTATACAGCGCTGCATTTAATTACACTAACCTTCAGAGAAATATCTGCAATTCCCAGAGCTCCTGTTCACAGAGCATGAAGCAGTAGCGCGCACTGCTTATGGGGGGGGGGGTTAAAACCTATCAACTACAAGAGTCCCATTAAACCTGCATTTAACCTGTTCACCACGACAAAAATACTTTTAATACCTAAACTGAGGACTGAAGTACTGAGCATATACAAGCAGACATACGTTGTGTATATGACCTGGCGCGCATTGTACCGCTCATATAATGAAGACTTTAGCGCCAAATTTATCTTGGCGACCGACGCGCATTACCTCTATGGTGCCTTTTTTTTTTTTTTTTTTTTTTTTGTGCTGGGCGCACATTACACTATTGGGGCCGCTACCATTTTTAACGACCAGAAATTACCCGAGAGCGCGCAAGCCAATAGCACCATATTTATCACATTCATGGGGAAGTGATCAACCCGTAAGGATCATACAGCGCCTCGGAAAGGGAAGGGAATCTAGAAGAGAGAGGGGTTAGCTACACCTGGGATCAAGAGCTTTTCACCAACATCAAGGAATATCTTGATGGTCCAGACACTGTCTTATCTCACGTTGTCTATTAGCATCAGTAACCCCAATTCTTTGGATCAAAAGCCTTCAATATCACGGCACCCCCCTCTCAACTTTCATGTTAATTTATATACATCAGTACCAAATTATGCACATTCCACCAGTACCACCCCTCAAGGAAAGTTCCTTGATGTTGGTGAGGGGCTCTTGATTTAGGGAATTGGATCTGTGCTCCAGTTCCCCGAATTAAGCCTGAATGCCTTCCACATCCCCCCCCAGGCGCTGTATAATCCTCCGGGTTTAGCGCTTCCCCCTTGATTATAATAATAATAATCCACCAGTACCAGTAGTAAATTATATTCATAACACCGGTACCAGCAGTAAATATTCATAACACCAGTACCAAATTATATTCATAACACCAATACCAAATTATATTCATAACACCAGTACCAAATTAATTATACCAATAAATTATAGTTAAACCATTGTCATAGTACCTGGGTAATGGGCGGTAATAAAATTTTATCAGAGGAAATGGTACCTCCAATTCTTTGGATCATGAGCCTTTCACCGTCAAGGCTTTTTCTACCTTGAAAGAGCAGTTTTAACAAAAAATATCCTAGTGATCGGATACACATTCCTACTCAGTCATTCTTTTTAATACATACCATTATGATCAAAAAGCGCTAAACCTACTAGGGTTATACAGTACCAATACATACCATAAGTCGACAGTGCAGCTGCTAGAGAACTTGTAGTCTGAGGCGAAGCCGTCCACTGGAAATAAACGAAATGATTCACTTCTTCCATTCGAAGGCGAAAAACCATACATCACTAATTGTAAGATATGTTTTTGCATAGTTATTGCTTCAGATAAATGTACAGTGTGTATGCTACAATGTAAAAGTGTTGTTAACCGCAAAAAAAAATAATTGGCATGAAATTAAAAAAAAAAAAAATGCTTACGAAGGTAGCAAACCCTTACCCGCCATATTGGTGTTGGTGTTGGTGTCTGAGGCGGCAAATTGCCCGGGCTTCCTCACTCTCTCCAATACTATGACATAATCTTTTCGTGGTCTGATTGGCTGATTATCAATGACGTAACGTCTCCAACAGAAATTCAGGCTTTAATTGGCTGCTTATTCCCGCCAGAGAAATAAATTGATCGCTTATTGGCTGTGGCCAAAACTATGAAATGCATACTCCTCCTCTGGTAGGGGCTCTTCATCCAAGGAATTTGAGCTACTTTTTCCTTCCTCAGATCAAGCATGATTACCAGCCATTTTTTCCGGCATGATCCCTATGAAATTAGGCTAAATAATAATTTTTTGGCTGATTTTTATTTTATTTTTTTTTTTGATCGGGGAGCTTCTCTAGTATTCTACCTTACATGTTTTTATTATTTATTTTATTTTCTCATACACTGAACAGTTAACATAATAATTAACTAATAATAATAATAATAATAATAATAATAATAATAATAATAATAATAATAATTATTATTATTATTATTATTATTATTATTATTATTATTATTGCTATTATTATTATTTTATAGGGGATGTCTAACCCGTAGGGGCCACACAGTGCCTGGGAAATGGGAGGTAATCAGGTTTGATCCAAGGAAGTGGAGGATACCACAGTTATGTCTTTGGCCATTCCTTTAATTTGCATGTAGGACTGGTGGGAAGCTCCTGATCTAGCAGGCTGTGGCTACCTGTAGCCCGCAGCCATCACAGCCCAGGGCTAGAGTGAGGGAATTGTCAGATACCGTGACTAGGGCCCATATCCTCCTCCTTGAAACTAGGGGCCCCACCTTCCCTTCCTTGAAACTAGGGGCCCCATCTTCCCTTCCTTGAAACTAGGGGCCTCACCTTGAAACTGTGACCCCATCTTGAAACTAGGGGCCCCACCTTCCCTTCCTTGAAACTAGGGGCCCCATCTTCCCTTCCTTGAAACTAGGGGCCCCATTTTCCCTTCCTTGAAACTAGGGGCCTCACCTTGAAACTGTGACCCCATCTTGAAACTAGGGTCCCCACTTCCCTTCCTTGAAACTAGGGGCCCCACTTCCCCATCCTGGAACTAGGGCCCAACAGTCCCTATTTTGAAACTAGGGCCCCACTTCCCAGCCTTGGAACTAGGGGCCCCCGTCTGACACTAGTGGCCTCTCCTGAAACTAGGCGGGATATACACTTCACAGTATATATACTGAGATACACATCAGTGTGTGGGATACACACCTCGTTATGTATATATATCGAGATATACACACCAATATATACGCTGAAATATTTGCACTTCCAAGTGTATATACTGGAATATGTATACAAAACCAAGTGTATATACTGTGGGATACACACACCTATATCCACACACTGAGATATATACACCTTCAAATGTATATACACTGAGATATATACACTTCCAAATGTATATACACAAATATAAACACCTTAAAGTGCATATATACTGTGGCATACACACCTAGTCGCATATATGTGATATACACCTCCATATATACATGTAAATATATATATATATATATATATATATATATATATATATATATATATATATATATATATATATATATATATATATATATATATATTATATATATATATATATATATATATATATATATATATATATATATATATATATATATATATTATATATATATATATATATACATGTATATATGGAGGTGTATATATACTGTTGCTCTCAGTGTGTATACATCAAGATATATATATTAATAAGAATATATGTAAAATGTTCATTTTAATGTGGATTACTTCTAAAATATATTACATATATACTTCTTGTTAGGCTACATATATAATCAAAGAGCATTTTCTCATAGTTCATGCTCCAGGGCATAATATATTAATAAAGTATATATGTTGATGCCTGCAAAATGCTCATTATTTGGAAAAAATATATATACTATAATAGCAAGAGGACAACCCCCCCCCCCCAATACAATGGTTAGAAACAATTCAAAATTTGGAAGCGCAAAGCCAGTAGGGGTCACATAGCGCCTGGGGAATGGGGGGTGATAAATTTTGATGTGAGAGGGGGAAAAGGCGCTCCATTTCCTTGGATCAAGAGCCCTTCACCAGAATCAAGTCGATACTTTTTTAAGGGAATGCAATATGAGGTTATTCAGTCGTAAATAAATAATAAATGTAATTTAATGTAAATAAAAACGTTTCAAATTGAAATATTTACATTATTTTCTCTTTATTAACTAAATAACTGTTCGTAGAGATGTATGGAGGGTGATTTTTCGTTTTTATTTTTGTCTGAAAGAATTTGTTTTCAATGGGCAGACATTTTTGTCATTTAATAAGAAGTATGCGTAGCGTAGACGTGCCGCTACCAATCAAAATTCAGTAAACTTTTCTGGCGCGAAGACCCAGCTAATTAAAACCTGAGCTTAATTGACGATGCTGATAAATAGCCCAACAAGATCCAATAGCCAATTAGCATTAGTTACGTCACTGGTGATCAGCAAATCAGCGTGAGCAATGATGACACCATCCAGGACTGTGACGTCAGCCTGGAGGCTCCTCAGCAGCGCGCGCTTGCTCGCCCTCAGTCGCGTCCTGCAAAGATGGCGTGTGGGTGCACGCTCCTATGGTAAGTAATTTCTTTCACCATTTCCTTGAAATAATTGGCTATTATCGGTTAATGGTGTTTATTACAATGTCGCGTGTACACTGTGTTTACGTCTGATGCTGTATATCTGCAGAGTATGTAGGAAATGTAACATTTAAGTAATTTTCTCCATAAGTTAGTAATGCCATCATTATTTTATTTTCAGGAACTGTTCACCACTAAACCAGAGGTCAACTGCAGCATCACCTGAGGTAACTATGAATGATGCTCAAATGATATTCATTTTTTTTTTTATAATTTGATAAAATAACGTCGCCTTCAAATGGCCACCCTCTAAGGGGACTACTCGGTAACTTAATACTTCCGTCACTGACTGGTACGTGTTTAACACGTGTATTCATAACTACTGGAGTATGCTATTCATAATTTATTACTGGTGTATGCTATTCATAATTTATTCCCCTCAAAGAAGGTTTCTTGATGTTGGTGAGGGGCTCTTGATTTAGGAAATTGGATCTGTGCTCCAGTTCCCCGAATTAAGCCTGAATGCCTTCCACATCCCCCCCCAGGCGCTGTATAATCCTCCGGGTTTAGCGCTTCCCCTTGATATAATCAATTTATTACTGGTCGTTTGCTATTCATAATTTATTACTGGAGTATGGTATTCACAATTTATTACTGGTGTATGTTATTCATAATTTATTACTGGTGTGTTATTCATAATTTATTACTGGTGTATGCTATTCATAATTTATTACTGGTGCATGTTATTCATAACTGACTACCGGTGTATACCTGGAGTACTTTTTGGAGGGTAGTCCGGGGATCAACGCGGCCCGGTCCACGACCAGACCTCCCGGTGGATCAGGGCCTGATCAACCAGGCTGTTAATGCTGGCCGCATGTATTCCATAATTGACTACTGGTGTATGCTATAATTGACTAGATGTATGCAAACCCCATTAATGGAACGGTGTCTTTATGATGGAGGTGATGCAGGATACCTAACCCATTCATTATGACCCAGGTTTACCATTTTCCTCGTGTGGCAACCGGTATCAAGAGGGGCCTTTATGTTGACGGATTCATTATCCAAGGCATTGGTTACCCAGGAATTTACCCCCTCTCGGTTTACCATTTTCCATAATTTGTACAAGTGTAAAGGGGAGGTTCTTGATTGTTTTTTTTTTAATTGAAGGAGTCACCCCAGGCACTATGATCCGTTCGGGTTTAAGCCCCTCGCCATTATTTCTATTTTGTAATAGTTGATTGATTCTGTGAGTATAGCAAGAATTTATAAAGTGTGCTTTGGTTTTAAAAGGCACGAGCTAACACTAGGATATATTAGAAAATGTTTCGGCCCTGGGAGTGGTCACAGGTTTGCCGAAATGTTTTCTAATTAAATAAATGTTTGCTGACGTCTTAAACTGGTGAGGTGCTCGGATCTGTGCTCTGGTTCCCAGAATTGGGTCTGAATACCTACCATCCCCCCCCCCCACACACATGCGCTGTATAATCCTACGGGTTTTGCGCTCACCCATAATAATTGCTCACGTTTTATTAAAAAGTCGGTAACAACCACCAAGGTTTATGCCCAGTGTCCATTATTCTTTGACGTTTTGTAATTGAAATATGATTGTGTATTTCAATTTTTTAGGCCATTTTTTGCAAATGTTGCAAGCAACCTAATGTAACGTACCGTAATTCACCTAGGCTCAACCTAACCTAGTAATCGAATATTACTCTTCTGTCTTGTTCAAAAAGTTGCAAATTGTTTTTCAAATGTAACATTACATGCATTACATTTACTAGACATTACTTTGGTCTTGGTATTAATATTGCAACGCGTATCACTTGGACTGCCAGTTAGTCATCACTGGGACTGCCAGTCAGTCATCACTGGGACTGCCAGTCAGTCATCACTGGGATTGCCAGTCAGTCATCACTGGGACTGCCAGTCAGTCATCACTGGGACTGCCAGTCAGTCATCACTGGGACTGCCAGTCAGTCATCACTGGGACTGCCAGTCAGTCGGTCATCACTGGGACTGCCAGTCAGTCGGTCATCACTGGGACTGCCAGTCAGTCGGTCATCACTGGGACTGCCAGTCAGTCGGTCATCACTGGGGCTGCCAGTCAGTCGGTCATCACTGGGACTGCCAGTTATCTTTAGGACTGCCAGTCAGTCATCACTGGGACTGCCAGTCAGTCATCACTGGGACTGCCAGTCAGTCATCACTGGAGCTGCCAGTCAGTCATCACTGGGACTGCCAGTCAGTCATCACTGGGACTGCCAGCCAGTCATCACTGGGACTGCCAGTCAGTCATCACTGGGACTGCCAGTCAGTCATCACTGGGACTGCCAGTCAGTCATCACTGGGACTGCCAGTCAGTCATCACTGGGACTGCCAGTCAGTCATCACTGGGACTGCCAGTCAGTCATCACTGGGACTGCCAGTCAGTCATCACGGACTGCCAGTCAGTCATCACGGACTGCCAGTCAGTCATCACTGGGACTGCCAGTCGGTCATCACTGGGACTGCCAGTCAGTCGGTCATCACTGGGACTGCCAGTCAGTCGGTCATCACTGGGGCTGCCAGTCAGTCGGTCATCACTGGGACTGCCAGTTATCTTTAGGACTGCCAGTCAATCATCACTGGGACTGCCAGTCAGTCATCACTGGGACTGCCAGTCAGTCATCACTGGAGCTGCCAGTCAGTCATCACTGGGACTGCCAGTCATCACTGGGACTGCCAGTCAGTCATCACTGGGACTGCCAGCCAGTCATCACTGGGTCTGCCAGTCAGTCATCACTTGGACTGCCAGTCAGTCATCACTGGGACTGCCAGTCAGTCATCACTGGGACTGCCAGTCAGTCATCACTGGGACTGCCAGTCAGTCATCACTGGGACTGCCAGTCAGTCATCACTGGGACTGCCAGTCAGTCATCACTGGGACTACCAGTCAGTCATCACTGGGACTACCAGTCAGTCATCACTGGGACTGCCAGTCAGTCATCACTGGGACTGCCAGTCAGTCATCACTGGGACTGCCAGTCAGTCATCACTGGGACTGCCAGTCAGTCATCACTGGGACTGCCAGTCAGTCATCACTGGGACTGCCAGTCAGTCATCACTGGGACTGCCAGTCAGTCATCACTGGGACTGCCAGTCAGTCATCACTGGGACTGCCAGTCAGTCATCACTGGGACTGCCAGTCAGTCATCACTGGGACTGCCAGTCATCACTGGGACTGCCAGTCAGTCATCACTGGGACCGCCAGTCAGTCATCACTGGGACTGCCAGTCAGTCATCACTGGGACTGCCAGTCAGTCATCACTGGGACTGCCAGTCAGTCATCACTGGGACTGCCAGTCAGTCATCACTGGGACTGCCAGTCACTTGACTGAATTATTAGTAACCGCCTCAAAGGAGGGTCTTTGACCTAAAGAATTTGACTTAACCTCTCTTTCCTTGGAGTGAACCTGGTTGTCTCATTCCCCAAATGCTGAATAGCCCCTACTGCTTTAAAACTTCTCATATTTTAACGATGTTTTTAGCTGGAACCTGTCTGGCGTGTAAATAAGTTACACCGTTTGTTATTTTTCTGTACTGTTTTCTGACGATGTATTTAATTGGTTTATGGTAAAGTGAATCGACCAAATTATTGAAATTTAAACACCCACCAATGAGGGGGCGGGAGTTAACTTGAAGGTCTTTTAATCTCAAGAATTGTAACTACCTTCTTTCATGGATCAAAGGTGGTCAGATTTGTGATTCCCCAGGCGCTGTATAAATGATTTAGCGATTCCTCATGATCACATTGCGAGCTATTCAATCCGGGGTGACCCATTTCCGGGAAATTGCGCTTGATAAATACATATTGAAGGGGAAATTTATATGACATGGATTTATGTAGTGTTTTCGCTGGAGGCCATATACATTTTTGGCCGCAATAATGGTATGTAGTGAGCTTGTACACAGGTAAGATGTTTAAATAGGTGCGATGCGATATAGTGTTTTTAAAATAAAAAAAAGTACAATACCCACACTGGAGCGATACACAACTCGCGTGTTATTTGTGCAAAAAGCGTCTCCCTGTATATATATATATATATATATATATATATATATATATATATATACCGAGAGTACTTTAATAATAATTAGTCTTTTGACTGGTAGTGAACAGGTTACATGCAGTCGATAGGCTTTAAATCCACTACCCGCAAAGGACCTTGATGCCGGTGAGGGGCTCTTAGTTCAAGGCACAGAATTTATAGTCCTCTTGGGTTGAAACTGAATGCCTCCCATTGCCCAGGAGCTAAGGCCCCCTCCAGGTTTAGCGCATTCCTCTGATAAGCCTCATTGCCAAACATTAATAAAAGCTAGCCACTGCTGTTAACTGATGGTGTAACAGGTGCTCTAGGAATTTAAAAATTGTGCGGTTTAGTTTGAAAGTGATGATTGTAGTACTACACAATTGTCGGTTAAAATAAACATGTCTTACGTCTGGCACTGCGGGACATGGCATAGTCTCGTGGTGTATTGCTATCCCCATGCATAGTAAAAATAAAAAATGAATGGTCATAACTATGACCATAATTTTTAAAGGGGTGGAGCGGTAAGCCAGCGGAAGGCCTCGGTCAGATAACCAAAAGCTCCAACGGTGGGTCATATAAGATAAGATAAGATTTCGTTCGGATTTTTAACCCCGGAGGGTTAGCCACCCAGGATAACCCAAGAAAGTCAGTGCGTCATCGAAGACTGTAACTTATTTCCATTGGGGTCCTTAATCTTGTCCCCCAGGATGCGACCCACACCAGTCGACTAACACCCAGGTACCTATTTGCTGCTAGGTGAACAGGACAACAGGTGTAAGGAAACGTGTCGAAATGTTTCCACCCGCCGGGAATCGAACCCGGGCCCTCCGTGTGTGAAGCGGGAGCTTTAGCCACCGGGTCAGAAAACACATATCCTGTTTCTTGATGTATATAAACAACCAGTGTATAATAAAAAGGGTGTGTGTATATATATATATATATATATATATATATATATATATATATATATATATATATATATATATATTATATATTATATATACTTACTAACTTTTGACTATATAATATGTATATTTGTATTAAGTATCCTTGATGGTGAACAAGTTACATGCAGCCTTCATGACACTTGTATAATCAGTTGATAGACTTTAAACATAATGAACCACTAGGAGTGAAGAGCTTATTTTCTCAGAACATGCCTTCAAAATTTTAAGTAGATTTACTAAGTCTAGTTATTTTCATGGGGGACTTTTTAAATGTTGCAAGGCTATTTAATTAATCTAAAATTCACTTCTCAGTTCAAACACGTAGTGTATTAAAATACCCTACTACGATTCTTAACATTTTTATTATGGTCATGATGGTACTGGAGATGGATAAAGGGCTTCTTGTTCATTTATTCTGATGGAACATCCCACCCTCATTCTAATGCGAAGAGTTCTTAATCCAAGGACTTTGAGCTAACTGCCATTAGATCAAAATCAGATTACCTCTCATTTCCCAGTTTAGGGCTTATGTTTTTCAAATAATTTTCATTTATGTTTCTACTGCCAAACTCATCTATTCTATTTACACATTAATAATTTCTTTAAAAAAATGTTGATTGTAAAAATAAATTTTAACCAGATGTTTTTTCTTTCCAGAATGTTTCGTCTTTACTACTTGTCTCCAGGATAATGTCAAGCGGTAACGTCACTGGATCATTTAACATAATTTTGGGCAAGTAATTCAAAATTTGAAGGAAAAAGGGCGAGGTAAGTTTTCTGCAAATGTTACTTGAACCTCAGTGTATAGTGAACCTCAGTGTATATTGGTTTTCTGGTGTATATTAAACATGTTTTTTTTCAGCTTAATGCCATAGCTGAAAGTTTGTAAATTGAATTATGTATAAAAAATTTGAAATTTTGTACCTAGTATACAATTGTGCTGGGCAGCCCTCGTCCCAGGCATTGGGGAATTACGAGTAATTGTTGGAACATATAATACATAATATTTGTTCATATGTATACAGTACTGAATATTATGTATAGTAATACCGGTGTTTTAATTGAATGACTCTTGTTCTGTTGTGATGTTATTTTACAAAACGGAGTTGTGGAACTTCTCTCATCTTGAGACCAGTAGGTAACTGCCCCTTTTGGTGTTATGTTAATTTGCCATAGATTAGTTCAGGGGCTACTTATCACCCTGGCAACTCAAGAGCCTGCCGCCCTGGCAACACCAGGGCCTGCCGCCCTGCTAACACCAGGGCCTACCGCCCTGCCAACACTAGGGCCTACCGTCCTGGCAAGTCCAGGGCTTGCCGCCTTGGCAACACCAGGGCCTACAGCCCTGGCAACTCCAGGGCCTGCCTCCCTGATAACTCCAGGGCCTGCCAACACCAGGGCCTACAGCCCTGGCTACTCCAGGGCCTGCCGCCCTGGCAACTCCAGGACCTGCCGCCCTGGCAACTCCAGGGCCTGCCTCCCTGGCTACTCTAGGGCCTGCCGCCCTGGCAACTCCAGGACCTGCCGCCCTGGCAACTCCAGGGCCTGCCGCCCTGGCAACTCCAGGGCCTGCCTCCCTGGCTACTCCAGGGCCTGCCTCCCTGGCTACTCCAGGGCCTGCCTCCCTGGCTACTCCAGGGCCTGCCTCCCTGGCTACTCCAGGGCCTGCCACCCTGGCAACTCCAGGGCCTGCCCCCCTGGCAACTCCAGGACCTGCCGCCCTGGCAACTCCAGGGCCTGCCTCCCTGGCTATTCCAGGGCCTGCCTCCCTGGCTACTCCAGGACCTGCCGCCCTGGCAACTCCAGGGCCTGCCTCCCTGGCTATTCCAGGGCCTGCCGCCTTGGCAACTCCAGGACCTGCCGCCCTGGCAACTCCAGGGCCTGCCACCCTGGCTACTCCAGGGCCTGCCACCCTGGCCTAATTCACCTTGTAATTAAAATGTTTTACACTGCTTTGTATATAAATTATTTGAATTGTTTTCAATTTTACTTCCATCTAAAAATCTAAATTTTGTTTTTGGTTCATTTTTCTTGCACTACTTAATATTTCCCTTTGCAACTTTAATGTTATTTCTTCAGCAATTTTTTTAGCAATATTTCGCCGGTTTTTCTGCCTAATTGTTATGAGTAATAATTGTTCTTTTCAACCCAATTTTTTTTTTCAGCTTAACAATGTTGAACCTGCCTGGTTATTTTTTTCAGTAATTTTTTAGTGAATTTTCATTTCAACAATTTTTTTTTTCATTGTTTTTCAGCCTAATAATTTTTTAATTATGTTTTTCAGCCTAAGGTTTTTAATCATAATGCTTTCCAGCCTAATAATTTTTTCACTTTTTCAGCCTAACAGTTTCTTCATGTTTTTCAGCCTAATAATTTTTTCATGTTTTTCAGCCTAATATTTTTTTTCATATTCAGCCTAATAATTTTTTCATGTTTTCAGCCTAATATTTTTTTTCATATTCAGCCTAATAATTTTTTCATGTTTTTTCAGCCTAATATTTTTTTCATGTTTTCAGTCTAATAATTTTTTCATGTTTTTCAGCCTATTAATTTTTTCATGTTTTTCAGCCTAACAATTTTTTCATCTAATGTTTTTCAGCCTATTAATTTTTTCATGTTTTCAAACCTAATAATTTTTTCATGTTTTTCAGCCAACAATTTTTTCATCTAATGTTTTTCAGCCTATTATTTTTTTCATGTTTTCAACCTAATAATTTTTTCATGTTTTTCAGCCTAACAATTTTTTCATCTAATGTTTTTCAGCCTAATATTTTTTCATCTAATGTTTTTCAGCCTAACAATTTTGTCATCTAATGTTTTTAAGCCTAATAATATTTTCATTAATGTTTTTCAGAGTAATAATTTTTTTTCAAGTAATGTTTTTCTGTCTAATAATTTTTACAGCTTAATCATTTTTAACAGCTAATGTTGCTGTATAGTCCTTGTGGCTTAGCGCTTCTTTTTTGATTATAATAATAATCAGCTAATGTTTTTTAGCCTAATAATTTTTTCAAGCCATATTTTTCAGCTTATCAATTTTTTCATCTAATGTTCTTCAGAATAATTTTTTTCAGCTAATGTTTTTCAGCCTAATATTTTTTTTCATATTCAGCCTAATAATTTTTTCGGCTAATGTTTTTCAGCCTAAAAAATTTGTTCAGCCTATTTTGTTCATGTTTTTAGCCTAATAATTTTTTCATGTTTTCTCAGCCTAATATTTTTTTCATGTTTTCAGTCTAATAATTTTTTCATGTTTTTCAGCCTATTAATTTTTTCATGTTTTCAACCTAATAATTTTTTCATGTTTTTCAGCCTAACAATTTTTTCATCTAATGTTTTTCAGCCTATTATTTTTTTCATGTTTTCAACCTAATATTTTTTTCATGTTTTTCAGCCTAACAATTTTTTCATCTAATGTTTTTCAGCCTAATAATTTTTTCATCTAATGTTTTTCAGCCTAACAATTTTGTCATCTAATGTTTTTAAGCCTAATAATATTTTCATTAATGTTTTTCAGAGTAATAATTTTTTTTCAAGTAATGTTTTTCTGTCTAATAATTTTTACAGCTTAATCATTTTTAACAGCTAATGTTGCTGTATAGTCCTTGTGGCTTAGCGCTTCTTTTTTGATTATAATAATAATCAGCTAATGTTTTTTAGCCTAATAATTTTTTCAAGCCATATTTTTCAGCTTATCAATTTTTTCATCTAATGTTCTTCAGAATAATTTTTTTCAGCTAATGTTTTTCTGCCTAATATTTTTTTCATGTTTTCAGCCTAATAATTTTCATATTTTCAGCCTAATAATTTTTTTCAGCTCATGTTTTTCATCCTAATCTTTAAAATCAATGTTTTTTTTCAGCTAATGTTTTTCAACCTAATATTTTTTTCAGTTAATGTTTTTCAGCCTAATAACTTTTTAAATGTTTTCTGTCATTTTTTCAGCTCATGTTTTTCAGCCTAATCATCTTTAAATTAAAACAATGTTTTTTTCAGCTAATGTTTTGCATACCAATATTTTTTTCACATAATGTTTTTCAGCCTAATAATTTTTTCAGCTAAATATTTTCATTGCAACTTTTACCTTTCCATACAAATGTTTTTCAACCTAACTGATATTTTTTCAGCATTTTTTTCCTTTCTATACAATGTTTTCTTCAGCTAAATGTTTTTATTCCATGTAATGTTTTTGGCCTAATAATTTTTGAAGCTAAATGTTTTATTCCATGTAATGCTTTTCTTCTAATGATTTTTATAGAATATTTTTTGCCCATGTAATGGCCTAATAAGTTTTTCAGCTAAATAGTTTTTATATGTAATGTTTTTCAGCCTAATATTTTTTTTCCCACTGAATGTTTTTCAGCTTGATTTTTTTTAGGTAAATTTTTTTCCATGTTCTTCATCCTAATATTTTTTTCAGACAAATATTTTTAACATGTAACTTTTTTCAGCCTAACAATTTTTTAAGGCTAATTGTTTTTTCAGTGCGATTTTTTTTCCCCTTTAATCTTTTTTTTAGCCTAATATTTTGTCTTAAGGTATAGTCTTAATTTTTTTTTTCAGCAAAATGTTTATTCATTGAAATATTTTAATTTTTTTTTCAGAAAAAGGTTTTTCTGTGTGATAATGTTTTCATGGCCATATTTCTTTTCAGCCTATATATTTTAATATTTTCATTGAATTAAAATTTATTTCCTGGATGCAACAGCCAATTAATCATTATTTCCATGCACTCTTGATTTTATTCCTTTAAATATTTTTTTAATGTTGACAGTTTAATGATTCATTTTAGTAACTTTATGCTGACTACACTTTCAACCATTTTTTTTGTCAAGTTTTAAGTAACCATTAATATAAAATTGTTTTACATTTATTGAATCTGATAATGATCTACAATAAATTTTTCATTAAAATTAAGATTTATGTTTCAGAAACGTAAAGTGCTCAGCCTTCTGACCTGTGATGAGCTTACTAAAAAAATGTGTGGATTACTAGCATTAAAGATATAACTTTTAGCCAGAATTTGAAACGACATTTAGGGCATATAAAAGTAGGAAAATGAAAGTGAACGTAGGAAAGAGCAAGGTGATGAGGGTAGTAACGAGTTAGGTAATGAAAGATTGGGTATCAGATTGGAAGGAGGTAATATGGAGAAGCGAAGGTGTTCAGATATTTTGGAGTGGACCTATCGGCAGATGCGTATATGAAAAACGAGGTGAACCATAAAAGTGATGAAGGGAAAGATGGGTGGTATATTGAGGCATCGGTGGAGACAAAGAATATATGAGAGTATAGTGGTACGAACACTTATATACGAGTGTGAAGCTTGGGTTGTGAATGTTGCAACGAGGAGGAGGAGGTTGGAGGCAGTGGAGTTGTCATGTCTGAGGACATTGTATGGTGTAAATATTATGCCGAGAATTCATGGTTTGGAGATTAGGAGGAAGTGCGGAGTTACTGAAAGTATTATCCATAGAGATTGCTTTAGACATTTAGAGAGGATGGAGCAAAATAGATGACTTGGAGGATATATAAATCTGCAGTGGAGGGAAGGTTGGGCAAGGGTCGCCCTAGGAAAGGAGGGATGAAGGAAGTTTTGTGAGCCAAGGGGCTGGGCCATCCAGCAGCATGTTAGATAGGAGTGGAGGCAAATGGTTTTTGGGACCTGATGAGCTGTTACTGTGTGAGCACGTTTATATTTTGTGAAGGGATTCAGGGATACTGGTTAGCTGGACTTTCGAGTCGTGGAGGCTAGAAGTACCGAGCCTGGACTCTAAAGGAGGGATGGGGATATTTGCAGTTTGGAGGGGTATCTGAACTGTATCTACGCGCCTCTGGCAAGACAGTGGTAGAGAATGATGGTGAAAGTTTATTGGGGTCACACTACCTCGGTGGGACATAAATACATGTGTGGGTGGGTGTAACTTATATAAACCTGACAAGCATGAGACAGTAGGCCTGCCACAGTGCTTCTTTCTAATGTTCTTATTTTCAGCAAGTTACTTAGGCTGCAACTTGTACAAGTTTGTCTATTAAACAAACCACAGTGGAAATTCCTAACGCATGTGAATTGTTCAATTTAGAGTTGGTACAGATTCGATCTCTGCTAATCATGAGGTAAAGTGTATTACTTAATTGTATTACATATATATAGGGAACAATTTACAAATGCCATGTATATACATATCTAGGCTTTCAATTAGAACTCATTCAGATTTTACTATCGAAGTCACAGTATCATGTCTGAGTACAATGTATGATGTTTCGAGATTAGGAGGAGGTGCGGAGTTACTAGAAGTATTATCCATAGAGATGCTTTAGACATTTAGAGAGGATGGAGCAAAATAGATGACTTGGAGGATATATAAATCGAGTGGAGAGAAGGCTGGGCAAGGGTCGCCCTAGGAAATGAGGGATGAAGGAAGTTTTGTGTGCCAAGGGGCTTAGACATCCAGCAGCATGTTAAATAGGAGTGGAGGCAAATAGTTTTTGGGACCTGATGAGTTGTTGGAGTGTAAGCATGGTAATATTTTGTGAAGGGATTCAGGGAAACCGATTAGTTGGACGTTCGAGTCGTGTAGGTGAGAAGTACCGTGCCTGGACTCTAAAGGATGGGGAATGCTTGCAGTTTGGAGGGGTATCCGAACTGTATCTACGCGCCTCTGGCAAGACAGTGGTAGAGAATGATGGTGAAAGTTTCTTTTTTGGTGTCACACTACCTCGGTGGGAGATAAGTACATGTGTGGGTGGGTGTAACGTGTACCTGCCAAGCATGAAACAGTAGGCCTGCTACAGTGTTCCTTTCTAATGTTCTTACTTTCAGGAAGTTACTTAGGCTGCAACTTGCACAAGTTTGTCTACTAAACAAACCACAGTGGAAATTCCTATGCATGTGAGTCGTTCAATTTAGAATTGGTAGAGGTTCGATCTCTGCTAATCATGAGGTAAAGTGTATTACTTAGTTGTATTACATATATATATGGAACTACTTACAAGTGCCATGTACTGTAAATACATATCTAGGCTTACAATTAGAACTCATTCAGATTTTACTATCAAGTCACAGTATCATGTCTGAGGACAACGTATGATGTAAATATGCCGAGAATTCATGGTTTGGAGATTAGGAGGAAGTGCGGAGTTACTGAAAGTATTATCCATAGAGATGCTTTAGACATTTAA